GATTTGCCTTCAGGCTATAGTTGTCAGTTCCACTAAGGACAGAAGGAGAATTGAGGAGAGGAAGGATCTTTATTTTCTGGCCAGTGAAAATTTATTATTATTGTTATTGTTACTATTAATAGATTATTCACTGAGCCTCTTTGATTTGAACAGAAAATGGAAATGAAAATCAACTCTTTCTTTTTTCCTCCCTCTGTCCTTTCTTTTCTTTATTTTCGTGTTCTCTCTCCCCTCCCTTCCATAATTCTGGAGATCTATGATGTTTTAGGACAGTGTTTCCCAGCTTTGGTTCCTTTGAACACCAGCTTCTCCATTTCTGCATCCAATCACTACTAGTGGTTGCTTAATTTTGAAAAATTGAATTCCCTTTTCTTTTTTCTCTTTTGAGACACAGTCTCACTCCAATGTCCAGGCTGGAGTGCAGTGATGCCATCATGGCTCACTGCAGCCTTGACCTCCTCCTGGGCTCAAGCAATCCTCCCACCTCAGCCTCCCGAGTAGCTGGGACTACAGGTGCACACCACATGCCCGGCTAATTTTTGTATTTTTTGCAGAGACAGGGTTTCCCTATGTTACCCAGGCTAGTCTCAAACTCCTGGACTCAAGCGATCTGCCTGCCTCAGCCTCTCAAAGTGCTGGGATGACAGGTGTGAGCCATCACACCTGGGCTTCCCTTCCTTTTCTTATATGTTTGGTCTGATCCTAAAACAATGATCATCTGGTTGTAAAGCCCCTGCCAATCCACAATAGGAGATGTAGGTCAATACAAACTGGGCAGCAGGCAGCTCCTAAAGCCACCTCGCTGGTGGAAACTGTGAGGCTTGCCAGGGAGGGGCTGCAGAAGCCTTCCATTACTGTTGGCTAACTGACCATACAGTGAGATCCCCACTTCCTTCAGATCAGTGTTGCTCAAATTTTAGCCCCAGGAGAGCTTAAGAGATTCCTGGGCTGCATCCCCAGGTATCCTGACTCAGTGGTTTTGGGCGGGGGCCTGGGATTCTGCATTTCTAACAAGTTCCCCCAGGTGACGCTGATGCTGCTGGTCTGATGACCACAATTTGAAGTCTTGGGCCACTGGGCATCCAAACCACTTGTAGGTGCTTATAAAAAGGCAGATTCCTGGGCACTACCCCCCAGATATTCTGATTCTCAGCTTCAGGGTGTCTCCTGAGAATCTGCCTTATCAACCAACCCTGGAGGAACCTCTGAAGACCACTCTTTGAGAAGCACTGCCTAGGCCACCATTAGCACCTGTAATGCCAAGGTGAGGAATGCAGAGGTGAAGGGATTTGCTTGGGTCACTGTAAGTCAGGGACAACTCCTTCCTGTTGCCTAGGCCCTAAATCTTGGAGCACCCTGGACTCCTCTTTCCCTCCCAGCCCATAGTCAGCATGTCAGCAAATCTTGTTGGCTCTCCTTTCAAAACACATTTAGGTTTTCTTTAAGACTCTAGCAAACAAATGGACTTGGGTTTGGGAGAGTAAATGAAACTAGACTGGTAAAATGTGGGTCATTGTTGAAACTGAGTTCATGTTATTACTTACAATTTTTTATTTATATTTGAATTCTTCAATAACAAAAAGTTTTAAGCGTTTGATCCAACAAATTTACTTCTGGGACTTTACCTTAGAGCTTTATTTTTTTGTTTCCTGTCCAACAATTTTTTTATTTTTTTATTTTTTGAGACAGAGTCTCGCTTTGTCACCCAGGCTGGAGTGCTGTGGTACAATCTCGGCTCACTGCAACCTCTACATCCTGGGTTCGAATGATTCTCCTGCATCAGCCTCCTAAGTAGCTGGGACTACAGGCATGTGCCACCACGCCCAGCTAATTTTTGTATTTTTAGTAGAGATGGGGTTTTACCATGTTGGCCAGGCTGGTCTCGAACTCCTAACCTCAAGTGATCTGTCCGCCTTGGCCTCCCAAAGTGCTGGGATTATAGGCGTGGGCCACCACCCCTGGCCTAAGTTCTCAAAACAGGAAAACAATAAACTATGGAACACCTCTTAGAATTTTATATAATTAAGAGCATTTATCCAGGCTACATACCAACAGGGAAAAAAATGATATACTATTAAGTAAAAAACTAGTACATTAAACTGTATATATTGCATGGTTAAAACTATGCAAATAATTGTATCTTTGAAAAAGACTGAAAAATAATTATATATGTTCGGAATCTAATCATTTCCTACCTCCTTCAGTGCAATGGCCTTCGTCTCTTGGAAGAAGCGGGCACTGGAGTCCTAGTCTAGGGGAGCCCCGCACTGGTCTCCCTGCTTTCACCTCTTCCCTCTCCAACCTCCTCGGCACTGGCTAGCTAGAGAGGTTCTTCAGAAATGTGAATCAGCTCGTGCCCTTTTCTGCTCAGAACCCTAGGAGGCTTCCCTTATCTCTGCAGCTAAAAGCTGCCTACCATGGCCAGGCTGCAGAATGTCAGCTTGCCTGCTCTGATCTGCTGCTCAGTTCCCTGCCTATGCCTGCCTCTCCAGCCATGCTGGCCTCCTTGCTGCTCTTCCAGCCTCAGGGCCTTTGCACGTGCTGTTTTTTCTGCCAGGAATGTGGTCCCTCCCTCCTTCACAGCAGCTCTTCAGAGGTCTTACCTGGGCTCCTTATCTAACATAGATCCACTGCCTCTTTTTGCTCCCATGCCCTTTATATTTCTTCATAGCACTTATCAACACCTCCCACAGCACATTTATTATGTCTTCTACTTTCTAGAATGCAAATTCCTTGAGAACAAAGACTTTATGTTTGATTCTCTCCTGCATCCTTAGTACCTAGCATAGAGCCTGGCACATAGTAGGTGATCAACATACACCTATTGAATGAAAGCATGTTGTACTGAGAAACTCTCCAATGGGGGCTGTAAGCTGCATGTGGACTTTGTTTCTTGGGTAACCTCCCCTCCTTAACCCTTCTGGCATAGGCAGACTCACAGCAGGTGACCAGTAGAAGGTAAGGTGGCTGATCATTTTTCGACCAGAGACCTCCATGGCACGCAGTGTGGAAAGTGCATTCTGTGAGCTAGAGGCAGCAGAGCATGGCAGCTAATGGAACTGGCTCTGGGAGGTCAAATTCTGGCTTAACATCACCAGCTGGGCAGCCTTGGGAAAATTACAAGAATTCTCTGGGCATTAATTTTTTCTTGTGCAGAAGAAGGATAATGACAGTTCCTACTTCTCAGGGCTAGGGAATAAATAAGAGAATGTCCATAAAGCACTTAGCAAGCACAGTTGCCTGGCATGGAGGTGACAAGCAACAGACGCAGTCGAATTAACCAACAGCCACATTTGCGGCTTTGTCTCTTTCAAGTTTACAACATGCTCTTATGTACATGCCTTAGCTGATCTGGGCCTGTGAACACCTGTCAGTTTTTATCACCATTTTATTTATTTTTAGATGAGGGGACAGAGTCTCGCTCTGTCACCCAGGCTGGAGTGCAGTGTTGCGATCTCGGCTCACTACAACCTCCACGTCCCAGGTTCAACTGATTCTCCCGCCTTGGCCTCCGGAGAGTTGGGATTACAGGCACGTGCCACCACGCTCGGCTAATTTTTGTATTTTTAGTAGAGACAAGGTTTCACTATGTTGGCCAGGCTGGTCTCAAACTCCTGACCTCAGGTGATCTACCTCGGCCTCCCAAAGTGCTGGGATTACAAGCGTGAGCCACAGCATCTGCCCACCATATTATACGTAAGAAAATTAGGTCAAGGGGAAAAGTGCTAGCTCACAGAACATAACTGAATCTTGCTAGAACTTCTAGTGCCCTTTCTTCCAGAACACAAGCGATTATTACTGCTGATGTGAATCAAGGTGATTTAGAGCTGGGCGTGCAGCCCCAGATACCAGAGGCTGAGGTGGAGGATCGCTTAAGCCTGGGAGGTTGAGGCTGCAGAGCCATGATCATGCCACTGCATTCCAGCCTGGGAAACAGAGCAAGGCCCTGTCTCAGAGGGAAAAAAAATTGGGATGGCCCCACTGGAGTCTCAGACTCTAAAGTGTGTGCCCAATGTAAGGATGTGGACGGCAAATGAATTCCAAGATGAAATCAGCAAACCAGCCACAGGCTTACAACCTGATGGCAGCAGGGAGTGCATGGGCTCCCTCATCTGCAGTTCTTTCTCTGGATAAGGACTGAGAGCAAGTCCGGACAGGCAAACCATCTCCCAGTCCACCCAGGACTTAAAACACTTCATTGTTTTTCCGAGAGGGAAAGATGCCAAAGCGCTTTCTGTACAGTTTCTCCTGCTTAGAGTTGGGCGTCAGCTCTATGCAGCAAATGCTGACTTTGGTGTTTGATTTGAGATCTCTGATACCCTCTGGCCTCTGAGCTTTGATCCAGGCTGCCTCTGACAAAAAAGTGTTTCCTCCCACAGGTAATGAAGGGAGAAGGCCCAGCATGGAGCTCTGGGCCTGGCTCAGTGGAGGCTCTGCCACCTTGCCTGGATAAAGGCTGAGGGAGGTGACATGGCAGGGACAAGATCTACAAGGGTCAGAAATGGAATTTTAGAACCACAAGGCCAAAACACCATGGACTCTCGGGAGTCATGGATTATTAAAACTGTAGCATCCAAGAGACCAAAAAACTCATGACTCAGAGCACCCTAAGCCTCAAGGTGTTGGCAGAGATTACATCAGAAAGGAAGGGTCAAAAGGTGCTTCTCCACTGAGAATTGCAATGGCCTCTGGACCCTGGGCATCTTCTATGTGGTCAGAGCCTTGGCTAACATTCCCTTGTGAGAATCTAGCCTGAAGGTTCCAGCTGTAGGAGGATGGCCTGGAGAACAGGCTTTGGATATTAACCTAATGCCAGCATTCTACCAACCAGGCCTCTTGGGGCAAGAGATCAGAAGGTGCCAGGTTTGCCATGGCCACCAACCACCAAAAGACTGTGAGAACAACATCGTGATAGTCTGGCATGACGGTGTGAGCTCCTTGCCAGGAACATACCATGTGAGCGGCACTTAGTCGCCCACAGAACGCTGCACAGTGTTAACTTCCATTTACATAGTGTTTACAACGCAGGACAGTGTTCATGCCCCAAACCCCAGAAATGGCCTAGGAAGCTGGGGACAACAATGGCTCTGGCCAGGAAGTGGGGATGGCTCTTGAGGGCCACATTGGGGGACACCTTGAAAAGCAGTGACCCACACTAGCCGTGGCCTCATCCATTCAGTTAAGGTCACTTTAGGTACCTACGTTAATGGAATTCACTAATTTTCAAAAACCACAGAGAGTTCTAGAGTAGTCATGATCTTGTATCAAAAGTATATAGAAGTCTCTCTATAAAAAAATCTCTCTGAAGAGTTCAGCATCCCAGGCTGCTCAGAGTAGAGTGGATTGAAAGATGGATGCTGGACTGCTTTGCCGGTGTGAGAAATTCCCAGAAGAGCAGGAAGCATGTGCGATGGGAGATGCTCCTGCTCCTAGGAACCCAGAAGTCCAGTGCCCTGGGATATGGAATGCCTCCCTCCTCCAGGGGTCCCTGGCACTCTTCTCCATCTTTGGCAGGTGAAAAGAGGAGTTTGCAATCCTGGGAACACCTCTGGCTGCCAGGCCTGGCTGGAAGGACCAGCTCAGACTCTGGTCCCTCCAGGATCAGAAGGCCTGGTGTTCCGACCAGAATCAGAACTCGTCCCGCAGCTGAGGGGGCCTGTCCATGCCGAAGAAAGAAGACGGCCTCCCCTGGAGGTCCCGCTCCCGCTTCACAAAGGCAGTAAAGGAGGAGACACAGTTGCCAATAAAGTGGTCGGCTTGGCCGAGGATGTACAGGTCGACCTGGGCCACCTCGGGCTTCAAGCTCACCACTTTCACCTGCAGGAGAAAGGGTAGAGCATATAAACTGAGGTGGCTGCAGGCCAAGGCCTGCTGTCCACACCCCCAACCTCCTTCCCTAGGCTGCAGTTACAGACACAAAAGGAGGGGCAGAGAGAAGGAAGATATGGTTCAGTGTCTGAGGGAAGCATTGCCCAGCTGCTGCCTAGGCCCACCCCACCCTTCCCCACTCCAGGAGCCTCAGCTGCAAACACACCATTCACACCTTCATGCCTTTGCTTGCACTGTTCCCTCTGCCTGGAGTGCTGTTTCTTCACCGTTAAAATACCAACCAGACTCTTTTATCTTATTTTTTGAGATGGGTTTTTGCTATACTGCCCAGACTGGTCTCAACCTCCAAGGCTCAAGCAATCTCCCACCTCAGCCTCCCAAGCAGCTGGGACTACAGGTGGGTGCCACGACACCTGGTTAATTTAAAAAAATTTTTTTAGAGGTGGGGTCTTGCTATGTTGCCCAGGCTGGTCTTGAACTCCTAGACTCAAGTGATCTTTCTGCCTCAGCTTCCCAAATAGCTGGGATTACAGGGGTAAACCACTGTGCCTGGCCTGACCAGACTCTTAAGGCTAAGCTCAAGTTCTGTTTTTCCTAAAGCCCTGGCCTGATGGGCTTCCCCACCAAACCAGAGAGGGTAGCAGAGGGCATCCTTCCAGTTCTGGGCTGGATGTTTGCATCTCCCATGTATCCCAAATCAAAGCCCAAGGTCCTGTCCAATTTACCCCTGAGATAGTCCCCAAAGGTGAACACTTCTCTTGAGGGCCTGCCACTCCTTGGGCCCAATCATCACAACCTCTTCCCTGATGGACTGCAACAGCCTCTTCCTGGTCCCTCACTGCCTCTCCTGGTCTGCTCACCACAGAGTAGCCACAAGAAATTTTTCGAGATAACTTCTCCCCATCCTTCCTGGCCTCTAAGTGGAATACCTTTTAATGATGCCCTATTGCCCTTCAGATAAGGGTGACAAATTGTGACCGTGGCCTACAGGGCCCTCGTTGGGTCTCTTCTCATCCCTCCTCCATCATCCCTTCAACCTCAGCCCCTACCCAGGCTCCTGCCTCTTCAGGACCTCTGCGTGTGCTGTGCTGTTCAGGGCACACCTCCCTTTACCTGGTTAGCTCCTAGTTCTCAAAGCTCTTTCCCTTCTCGGCTTCAGTGATGCCTCCTTGGGGAAGCGCTCCCTGGCCTCCCAGTCTAGGCCAGCGTCCTCTACTCTTCACTCCCACAGAACCCTGCTGCTCTACTCGGGAGCACACATCTCTGCTTACAGTTTTCACTCCTTAGTGATTCTCTGATTAGCATGGTCTCCTGCACTTGACTGGGGCTACAGCTGTGTTGGTTTGCTCTCCACTGCTGGCCAGGCCCAGCATAGAGCCTATCCCAGTAAAAATCTGGTGAGAGGACAGGTGAATGAATGGACCTGCTCATCTTTCTACCAACCTCCTGAACCCACCTTGTGGCACACGCTATACTTCTCTGCAGTCTCTTTTCCTGGGTCTAGAATGTGTGCCCTGGAGGGCAGGACCACATCTGATTTATTGGTACCCCGACTCAGCGCTGGATGAGCTTAATGGAGGAGCAAGGCTTAGTTCAGGATAAGGGTGGCCTCTGAACCCATGGAAAAGGGAGTTGAGGGCTGGGAGGGATGAGAAGACTGGCATAGGGACAGGAAATAGAAAACGGCAAGAGGTTCAAGGTGTAACAGATACATTGACTCCAAAAACTCACAAAAAAACTCCCTGGGACTCTCCAAATGCTTCAACTTAGTACAGAGGTGGTTGGGGGTTGTGGGTAGGTGGGGGGAGTGTGGGCAGAGTTAGGGCTGAAAGTGCTTTGCTGTTCCACAGAGATTTCTGATGTAACAAAAATCATCATCTTGCTATCTGGATTATAGCAAAGAAATAATACCAGTTTAATCATGGCCAAAATCCCCCAAACAATTCCACTCACATTCTGAAACTTACCCACTCTGTGTCATGCCCATTATAATTAGCTCTGGGACTGCCTGAGTAAATTCTATCCTTTCTTGGGACTTTGGTTTCCTCAGCTATAAATCAGAGGGTTTGGGTTAGATGACCCCTGATGTCTCTCAGCTCTGATTTTCTCTTAATTATATTTTTCTTTTTCTTTTCTTTTTTTTTTTTTAAACAGAGATGGAGTCTCACTATGCTAGTGGCTGCTTTTGAACTCCTGGCCTCAATCAGTTCTCCTGCCTTGGCCTGCAATTACAGGCATGTGCCACCATGCCCAGCCCCAGCTCCGATTTCTGTTGAGTGGGTGGGGAGGAGACTAGAATACACTGACCTAGCACTTCCTCTCTGTGCTGGAACTTCCTGTGTGTCTGGGGTGAAAGAGAAGGGGAGCCCCTTAGCATAACACCAACAGCACTCAGTGTCTGCCTCTTAAGGCCTGCATAGCATTCTACAAAGTCCTATGGAATGCTTAATGCCAATTCAGTCATTTTATCAATACGTACTCACTCATCACCTGAATATTACTCTTTACTGATACAGTAAGCACTGACCAAGAACATTCTACTATTTACTCATGTACTGAATTCTCACTACTCACGGCTTCTTTAAGCATTTACTAAGCACAAAGCTCCTTTCCTTCATTAATCAGCCACCAATTTCTACTGCTGATGATAGCTAACTTTACTGGGCACTTATTTTGTAGCAGGAACTGTTTCAGTTTCTTTACATTTGACCTTCACAACTGCCCTATGAGATAGGTACTATTCAATCCCATTTTACAGATGAGGAAACAGAAGCACAGAAAGGTCAAATAACTTCTTCAAGGCTGCACAGTGGGTAAATTCAAGTTCTTTGACTCCAGAGTCTCTGCTGTTAACCCCTCCACTAGACTGGGATCTCTCCCCAGAGCCCACTCTCTACATCCTCATTCAACAAACTGACTGCCTACTAAGTGTCAGGCACTGTCCTAGACACTGGTGATGGTAAGGCAGGGTTTCAGTCCCAAAAAGGTTGAAGCACCAGCCTACACATCAAGGAATATAGCAGTGATTCAGCCTTGGACCCTGCCTTCAAGGAGCCCACAGCTCCCGGGAGGAAATAAGGCATATTTCTACACCAGTTTCATACAGTTCAGGAAGTCCGCAAGAGAAGAAATGATACAGGGCCACGAAGGTCCCAACAGGGACACGTGAGCTCCAGGAGTGGACGAGAACCTGGAAGACTGAGGAGGAAGCCTCTGAGCCAGGGTTTGAAAGAGGGATAGGAACTGAAGAGGAATAGTAGGTTCAGGCAAAAGGCTTCTGGGGGAGCCTGTGAAGCATGCAGTGGGCAGTGGGACCACCCTGGCTCCTCTTTTCATTCCCTTCCTGCTGCACCCCAACCTGGCCCATACGTACCTTCCCTTTGAATAGCTGTTGGAGCTCAGGCACATAACTCTCAGAATCAGTAGCAACATAGACTGACTGGGCATCCAGCGACTTTACCCAGAGCTTCACAGCCCTCTGGATCTCCTTCAGGTCAGGCAGGCACATAGTCATCGTGAGAGTCGCCGCTGTGCTGCGGCTGTAGCCCACACACTGTGGAGAGGCCATGAAGTGCGAGCCTGCAGTCCCGTCCTTCAGCATAGCACAGGCGTTCTTCTACGGGAAGCGGAGAACAGGGTTAAATACCAGCAACTGCCGTGGAACCCCGGTAGCAAGAGCTGGTAAGTGGAAAAAGACAGGCTATACAGGAAGACCCTAACTACATTTGTTTGTTTGTTTGTTTGTTTGTTTGAGACCGAGTCTCACTCTGTCACCTGGGCTGGAGTGCAGGGGTACTATCTCTGCATGAGGCAACCTCTGCCTCCCACATTCAAGCAATTCTCCTGCCTCAGCCTCCTGAGTAGCTGAGACTACAGGCATCCACCACCACACCTGGCTAATTTTTGTATTTTTAGTAGAGATGGGGTTTTGTCATGTTGACAGGCTGGTCTCAAACTCCTGACCTCAGGTGATCTACCTGCCTAGGCCTCCCAAAGTGCTGGGATTACAGGCATGAGCCACCATGCCTGGCCTCCTAACTACATTTTTTTTAAGAAAACGTTGAGGACCAGGCGCAGTGCCTCACACCTGTAATCCCAGCATCTTGGGAGGCCTAGGCAGGCCGATGGCTTAAGCTCAGGAGTTGGAGACCAGCCTGGGCAACATAACAAAACTCCCTCTCCACAAAAAATACAAAAATTAACCAGGTGTGGTGATGTGAACCTGTGGTCCCAGCTACCCAGGAGGCTGGGTGGGACCACCTGAGCCTAGAAGGTGGAGGATGCTGTGAGCTGTGATTTTGCCACTGCACTCCAGCCTCAGTGATAGAGTAAGACCCTGTGTCCCAAAAAAAAAAAAAAAGCATTGAGAGAGAAGGAACATGTATCAAAAGAGTTAATGGTGGTTATTTCTGGGTGGTGGGACACTGGCTTTTTGAAACAAAAATTACCTTTCTTGGTCTTACTGCATTATCTGGGACATTCACTGAAGAAGTCTGAACAATGGTAGTGCTAACAGGCAGCCTTATCTGATTCTGACTACAGTGGGAACACTTCCAATAGCTCCCCAGAAGGTATGCTATCTGCTGTGGTTTGAAGAGATAGGCTTTATCAAGTTAAGGTGGGTCCATTCTATGTCTGGTTGGTTACAAGTTTTTATCATGAACAGGTGTTGACTTTTATCAAATGCTTTCTTGGCCCCTATTGAGATGATCATATGATTTTTCTTCTTTGGGTGTTAATATAGTCAATTTCATTACATTCTTGTGATAGATTTTCTGTGTTTGTGTTGTGTGCTAATCTGTTATTGGGTTTGACCTGTTAATATTTCACTTAGGATCTATGCATTTGTGTTTATAAGCAAGAAGAGGCTATAATTTTCTGAGTTGACCTTATCTGAGTTTGGTATTAGTGTTATGCTAGCTTTATAAAAAATAGCATCTTATATCTCTTGATGTTGCAGAAAAGTATAGATGGGAAGTACTATTCCTTGAATGTTTGGTTGGAGCCACTCATAAAATATTCTGGGTCTGGGAGGCTGCGGTGAGCAGAGATTGTGCCACTGAACTCCAGCCTGGTTGACAGAGCAAGACATTGTCTCAAAAAAAAAAAAAAAAAAAAAAATCCTGGTTCTGGCTCCCTTTCTTCGTGGGGGTGGGGGAGAAGGGGAGAGTTTGGTGGGTAAATGTAAGATTACCTCATCAATTGACTATGAGTGAATTTTAATTTTACTATTTTTCAAGATTTCTGCAATGAGCATTTCTAACATATCTATATATCTTCTATCTATATGCATCTTCTTAAGTAAATTAAGGTAACCGTTTACATTGATTCTGTTATTTTCACACAGAGGTGAAAACACCATTGGAATATGAGGATTCTGCACATTTGAACAGACTCCAAATTCTGGAAACATCTTCATTTCTTGGGAGCCATGCCTCATCTCCATAGTTGGTTTTTCAACACAGAGTGTACTAGCCAGACACTGAGCTAGGACAGAGGGCACCTGGACTGTGGCCTCTTTACGGCTTGCTGTCTGACCTGGGGTCTGGCTCAATTTCTCAGTTTATTCATCTGTAAAATGAGAATAAAAACAGCAGCTGCTAAAATGAGAGCTGGCTGGCAGGTACTCTGGAGTTACATTTTGATGCGTGCTGCAGCAGGATGATGGGATACAATCCCACAAGCCAGGCCAACTGAGAGCTCTCTGCTCTGACTAGGACGAGGGGCCAATCCCTACAGGCCTGGGCCCTGTTCCGGGACACATCCAATCTAGCCAGTGACAGGAAGGGGAAGTTACCCAGTCAGAGCCGATGCGCAGATGAATGCCCACATAGGGCCGGACAAGGTGGGTACGAATCTGGGCCTCTCCCGTCCTCACCATTTCGTCTGACCATACCATGTACTTCTGCAGTGGCCTGTGTTCCTCCAAGACGGGGAACTGGGCCGGGGCTCCTGGCAGGGCGAGCACCGGATGTTCCTTTGGAGAAAATCTAGACAGGAGATGGAATGAGGGAAGTCAAAGGACGCACAGAGAGCCTGGCTGCCACCCCCACAGAAAAAAGGACGGTGTTGCACCATTCCCCAGAGACCCTGTGGAGGGGCCCCTGTAACACGCAAGAAGCATGAGAGGTTGTGAAATACCAACGGGCTGATAAGGAACCTTGGTGGCAGCGGCAACAGGCACAATATGCAATACTGTCCCGCCACTCGGAATTTACAACCCTCTTTGCTTGTTTAACAATTAAAACTTTACAATGGAGCATTCCAACCTTTTATATGTCACGGTGGCTTCCAATCTGTGGTGCAGTAATTCACCCCAGGGTGGGGTGTCTGGACCAAGCCTTTGCCCTTTTACCTACATGGCAGGGCTGGGACATGCAGCTGCTTACAGAGGCAACGGCCAAGTCACAATCACAGGGACATTGGATTTGGATCATTGATTCAACATTTAAAACACATTTATTGAGTGCCTACTATGTACTGGGGCCTGGGGGAAAACAAGACAGGCACGGTCTCTGCCCTACGGAAGGGAGCAGAGGTCTGCAGGTGCCCCTGTCATAACCTTCCAAGCCCCTGCTTCCGCCTTCACACACAGTCCACCTCATATTTATTTCACATCTGTCTTTTCTGCGGGAAGGCAGTGGCTCCAGTGTGAGTTGAATAGCGTCTGGCACACCCAAGAGCTTGGTCAATACTTTTCTTTTCTTTTTCTTTTTTGATACAGGGTCTTGCTGTCACCCAGGCTGGAGTGCAGTGGCGTGATCTCAGCTCACTGCAACATCCGCCTCCTGGCTCAAGAAAAGACCCTCCCACTTCAGCCTCCTGTGTACCTGGAACTACAGGTATGTACCACCAGGCCCAGTCAGGTATTTTTTTTGTAGAGACGGGGTTTCGCCATGTTGCCCAGGCTGGTCTTGAACTCTTGGACTCAAGTGATCTGCCCACCTCGGCTTCCCAGCGTTAGGATTACAGGTGTGAGCCACTGCGCCCGCTCAATATTTCTTGACTGAATGAGGAGCAAACTTGTGTTCCCTCGTCAGCTAAACCCAGACTACCTCTCAGCAACATGAAACACCTTGGTGTGCCATGTTCACAATGCACTTTCAAGTTCTAGATCTCTGTATACCTCTTCCCTCCACCTGCAGAAGGGGAAGTGCCTTCTGCAAGCCAAAATCCTTTCCTTAAAAGTATGAAATGGGAACAGCTATTCCGGAAAACAGTTTGGCAGTTAGGCCTGTAATTACCACATGACCCAGCAATTGTACTCTTAGACATTTATTTATCCAAGAAAATGAAAACTTATGTTCACACAAGCATATACACAAATGTCCCTTGCAGTTTTATTCATAAGAGCCCCAAACTGGAAACCCAGGTGTTGCTCAACAAATAAATGGTTAAACAAACTGTGGTGCATCTATATCATGGAATATGAACCCCTCCCAAAAAGGAACACACTATCAACAAAGGCAAAAATTCGAATGATGTCAAGGGAATTATCCTTGGGTTGGGGAGGGTGGGAAATCTCAAAGGTTATATATTGTATGGTTCCATTCATATAAACATTTTAAAACAATAACATGGAGAAAAGAACAGAAATGGAGAAGAGATTAATGGTTGGCAGAATGGTTATGAATGGTGTGTATGTGTTTAGGGAGGTGGGTGTGGTTATAAACTGGCAACACAAGGATCCTTGTGATAATGGAACCGTTCAATGTCTTAACTATGGTAGTGGATACAGAAACCCACACATGATAAAACAGCACAGAACTAAATACACACACACACACACACACACACACGTACAAGAAAACTGCGTAACATGGGTAAATTGTATCAATGTCAATATCCTGCTTGTGATACTGCACTATAGTTTTGCAAAATGTTATCATTGGGGGAAATTGGGTAAAGGGTACATGGGAGCTTGCTGTCTTATTTCTTATAACTGCATGTAAATGTACAATGACCTCAATAAAAATTTCATATAAAAATTATGAAATATTTCAAACCATCCAGGCAAATTCAGAAAATAATTTAATAATTTATATACCCATGACCCGAATTAGCAGATACTAACTTTGCTTTGTTTCAGGTTAAAAAAAAAAACCACACACACACCTAAATCTGAGCTCATCCTGCCATCATACTTTCCAGAGGGTAATGTGTTTTAATGTATGATTACACTTTTACCATAGGCATCAAAAAGGAGGGGAGAGTTCTTCTGAGTGCTTTCTATGGAGTGGAATGATGAAGAATGTGGGTTAAGCCAGAATGCCTTGTTCTAATGTTGACTATGCCACTAGCTAACTTGGGCAGGTGCTTTACCACTCTGTGCCTTAGTTCCTTGCCCATATAACAGAGATAACAGTTCCCATCTCATAAAGCTGTTCTTTCTTTTCAATTGTGGTTGAGTACCGTGGACATGCCTGTAATCCCAGTACTTTGGGAGGGTGACGTGGGCAGATCACTTGAGCCCAGGAGTTCAAGACCAGCCTGGGCAACATGGCAAAACTCCATCTATCCAAAAAAAATTTAAAAATTAGCCAAGTGTGGTGGTATGTACCTGTGGTCTCAGCTGCTTAGGAGGCTAGGTGGGAAAATCACTTGAGCCTGGAAGGTCAAGGCTGCAGTAAGCCATGATCATGTCATTGCACTCCAGCCAGGGTGACGGTGTGAGGCCTTGTTTCAAAAAAAAAAAAAAAGTATATATTTAAGATATATGATATTTTGATATACATGTATGTAGTTAAATGATTAGTATAGTCAAGCTAATTAATATATTCATTTATAGGGCTATTGAGAGGATTAATGTATTAATCAAAGCAAAGCAGTTAGAACAGTACCTTGGCACACAGAAAGCTCTCAGAGAATTCTGGCTTTCATCATCATCATATTGCATGTAACCTAGTTAAAGGTTACATACAAATCTAATCAACTTTATGTTTTAGAGACTTGGCCATGTTGATCATGTGGTTGTATTAGCTTCTCTAAAAGTTTTCCATAGTGTACAAACTGCAATTTACCTGCCTGTTTCCCTCTTGCTGGACAGTGAGGTGGTTCCAATCTTTCCCTCACACAACAGACGTGCTGCTCATTCTCCAACACAGGCCACTTGCTCAGCAAACACCTTCCACGACTCCAAGGTCAGATGCAAATCCCAAGCCTCACCTCCTGAAGGAGGGTTCCCTGCCCCACTTCTCTTGCTGCCTTCTGCACAATGACGTGCCCTGCAGCCATCTTCCCTGCCCATGGAACTGTCAGCTGGTGAGGCTGCGGAACCAAGCAACCTGTTTGCCATTGCTCCCACGTACACTATCCAAGGCCTGTGTCACTTACACAAGCCTTGGACCAGTGACAAGAAAGTGTTCCTTGATGGTACAGCTGTGTGACACTTGTCTTGCTAGACTCGAGTTTTCTTTTTTTTTTTTGAAGTGGAGTCTTGCTCTGTCTTCCAGGCTGGAGTGCCGTGGCGCAATCTTGGCTCACTGCAATCTCCACCTCCCCAGTTCAAGCAATTCTCTTACCTCAGCCTCCTGAGTAGCTGGGATTACAGGCGTGTGCCACCACACCCGGCTAATTTTTGTATTTTTAGTAGAGACGGGGTTTCACCATGTTGCCCAGGCTGGTCTCGAACTCCTAACCTCAGATGATCCACCAGCCTCAGCCTCCCAAAGTGCTGGCATTACAGGCATGAGCCACCATGCCCAACCTAGACTCCAGTTTTCTGTTTATATGTACCTATCTGTGAATTGCTTATTGGGCCTCATTATGTGACAGGCAATGCTCCGATTGCTTTATGTATATTAAATCATTTTTGTCACAAGAGCTCTGTGAGGGAAGTATTACTGTCATTCTCATTTTACAGATAAGGAAACTGAGGCACGGAGGGGTTAAGTAATGTGCTCAAGGTTGCACAGCTAGAAACTGGTGGAGCTGGAATTTAAATCCAGGCAGTGCACTCCAGATCCTGTGTTCTTAACTACTACTCCTCACTCCCATCTTCCTCACCCCTGACAACGAGCACTCAAAAGCTGTGTCTGTGGCTTATTCTTCTGATTCCCAGCCCCTAGCACAGATCTTATCACATGGTAGGCATGATAAATATTTTTAGAATGAATGAAGAAGATTTGGAGACCTTGCCACAGAGACCAGATCAGGCTGTCAGAAGTTAGAGAAGGAAGAAACTTATATTACTTGAGTACCTACTATGGGCCACGTCTTCAGCTAATCTCCTTTCAGATGCTACCTCAAGGGATTTTCAAAGAAAAGGCAGAGTAAAACTCCCGGGGGGCTGGGACATTAGGATAGAACCAGGATCTGTGTCCCCCACAAACCCCCAACCTCTTAGAAAGCACCTGCAGCCGACCTTCAGTGAATTCCAGACTTGGAATGTGTGTACCCTCTACCTGGATCTGGACCAGCAAAGAGCTGTCCCAGTGGGACAACATCAGCTCGGACCCAACAAGCAGCAAGAGGCGAAGGCTGATCTGCTCACTTACTCTTGGTGAGGTAGGACAATGCAGTCTGGAAAGAAAGCGAGGGGAACAAGGATCTTGGCTGGAAGGAAAATCTTGACGAGCTCCACCTGCCCTGTAACTGCTCACCCTGGATCAGGCCCTTTTACTACAGCTATCCAGCGGAAGAGGGCTGGCTTTCCTTCTGCTAGGCCCGGTGAACCTCTGGGGTTCTTTCCTCCATGCCTGTGCTTCTGAGATTCCCCAACAAACTGGGACTTCTCTGTATACAGAATCCACTTATATGCCCAGTGTATATTTGTGGGACCACAAGTGGATGAACCCAATTGAGTGCAGGGGACCCAGGGACATGACCATGGCAGGGCCTTGTTCTTGATGTCCCTCCAGCTCTTTGCATGGCTGGCTCCGTCTTACTCTTCTGGTCTCATTCTGGTTCCCACAGGGAGGTGGCAGCCTGGGAGAATGACAAGTCCTGCACTCAAATACCTGGACCATCATACATGAGAGTGGTTCGGCAC